AAGAACCAAACAAGCTAGGAAGCTGAAACTTTTGAAGATGTCCCTTGCCCAAGTATGACTCAAGGATTTAAATCCAGCCTTCATGCACCTCCAGATTTCACCCACGTATATGTCAAGGTCCACTAATGTGCTCGTAAAGTAAATTAAGCTGTCACGTACCTCTCCGTCTTACGTACGGGCACGAGGAATTTGACTCATCAATTTTATAACTTCGAAACCGCAGCAACTGGAGTGTCGAAATTTTCTGGGCATGGCCAACAACCGTGTTTGGGCAGATCCATTAAAAACAACTTTCCACGCACCCTCTGCATTTCATGCACGGACCCATGTAATTTGATGGGCAATTTTGTGGGTCCCCAAGGAAAGTAGTGAGTCTGTTGAAATTTCTGAGCAAGAGGTCTCTCATGCATTTTTTTAGGCATTGTTCGCTGCTTTTCTTTTGTGGTAGTTATAATCTGCTAGTTAACTGTCTCTTATTCCAGAATATTATGCGGATGAGGGGTTACTACAGTCCTTTCGTTCCCTCATTTTAATGGCCATTTCCTGTAGTAATTTCTTCTTCCTCTTGGGAATTGATACATTTTTTCGTTCTGGCAGTGCGCTTTCGATCCGTTTTGTTTGTTAAACAGTCGTTCGATAGCTTTTCTATATCGTTATCGGCTTTACCAATCACTGACGGTATTGTTGTGTATTGCCCTATCTTTTCTTTGACTTCGTGCGATTTTTTACGTTGCACGATGCGAAAGGAAGCGGCTGTTCTTTCATGAGGCTGTACGGGACAGTATATTTGTGTATGTGAGTGCAAGCCGCGCGTCATTTTATTAGGGGATTTAAAGAGTCCTATGCTGTAAGCTTCGAATGCAGTAAACTATGAAAAACTAGTACTCTATTCTTTTTTACCCGGTTCTTAACCTGATTTTATGAAGCCCTTGGGTGAAATTAGTACTTGAAAAGCCGTCGACTCCTAGGAGGGATTTGTGAGGATTAAGCTGTCTGTGACATTCTGAGTAATATTTTAAATAATTCTGATCTCTGTCATTGATTTGGTCGAGAGTTTTGCGGTCCAAGTGTCTTAATTATA